GTTAAAACAAAAATATTTGTTGTTTGTCTCAATAAATTGGGTTAATTTAAAAATACAGTGGTTAAATTTAAACATTATTTTCTATTGCTTTTTGTTTTAAAAAAGGTTATAAAAGATGTCAATAATTATCGATACCGAACGATATGAAACATTATATCGTTGATACATTTTTTTGCTATATCGCCCAGCCCTAGTATAGCGTAATATCGTACATGTACATTTCTTTTAATTTCTTTTAATTGATTATTAAATCATTTAATGGAGGTTTATACATGCTAGTTTCCATGACAGAGTCTTTTCATTAATACTGGAGATGCCAGTTTGCTAAGTTTTCTAATGATTATTAAACACCAAGCACAAATTATGCAAAAGCGTTGGCCGTTCCGGCACACTCATTGTCCGAATTCACTCACTCATTTTCATTCACTCTTTCAACTGAACTGTATAAGTGGACTAATGTAGTGAACAGTGCAGGTATAGGGGGGCGATTTCGAACACAGCAATTGCCTTGCATATATGGGTGCTCAGGTAGATAGAGCAACACGACAACCTGAGAAACACGAAACTCTAAGTGAGTGAAAGACACTAAGCTTTTTTATTTCACACCTGAAGAGTGCTATAAATATAGTGGGTTGTATAGAACACAGATGAAGGACGTTGTCATGGTGCTTGAGCAATAGGTGTCTCACATCTATTCTTCATGAGTAAGTGAGGTGGACAGAAGTGCATTATGGGGTTTGGGAGTAGGGTGGGAGTGTTCTTGGGAGTGGGAGTGAACAGATGCTGCAGTCAGAGGACTTGAGAAAACCTAAAGGTACTTTCTATGGAGTTCCAGCACTAGCTCTTCAGAGAGTGAGTATATCTTATAATCTGTCTGGAAAACTTTCTCCACACATGTAGTCTGCTGCTTTAAGCTTTTGTTTCCTTCTGTGTGAAGAAACAACTGAATTCAAGTACAAAAAAGTTACCCAAGAGACCTTTTGATTATATTAAAACAAGAAAGCATAGTTTTGCATCAAGAATGTTGTGTGCTGCAACAAAACCAAATTATCATAACTCATACAACTCCAGCTATGAAACTCCTCGTTTGTTTCCTACTGGCCATTTTCTTGACAAAGATGAGCAAATGCAATTGAAAGCAATAATATATATATATATATATATATGGACTTGTATTTTGGCCAAAGGCAATGGTTTAAAGTTAAAATGCCTTGATGATGGATTTGTTTCATATCGTATAAACACACAGCATTTCACTTGACAAGACATTAATTGATGGACTGGAGTGGTGTGGATTACTTGTGAATTATTGTGATGCTTTCATCAGCTGTTTGGACTCTCATTCTGACGGCACCCATTCACTGCAGAGGATCCACTGATGAGCAAATTATGTATTGTAATTGTGTTGTAGTGTTGAAATGAGTTGATCTTTTGGATATAGAGATTATTAGAGACATCTGCTGATAACTTTGCAGGGAAAGTCTTCAAAAAGAGTCCTCCATATTATTTTAGACCCAACTTTACATAATATGTGCTTTAATTTATTAATTTATTTGTTTTAATTTAAAATCTTTGAGGAAAGTGGAAACTATTTTTGTTACTTGAAATAAAATAAACTTAATTTATATAAGAAAATTTATATATAAAATATAAGAAAACTTAAACTTAATTTATTTCAACTAGTTTCCAAGTCAACATTTCTCAATTTTATTTAGTTTATTTTGGTGTACTAAAATAACTAAAACTAAAATTGAAATAAAAATGAATTAAAACTATACTGAAATGTAATAAAAATTACAAAATACACAGCAAAATTACCAAAAATTAATTATTACAAGCCTCTAATTGTATTGCAGCTGCTTATGTTAGTTGCTTCATAAACACAAGCTTATCTATATTTTAAACACATGCTTAGTTTGAAAATTGTCTCATGCATAATGATTGATTCCCTTTCATGGGAACTTCGAACTGCGTTGTCTAGGGGTCGCTATGGGGAACGCCTCGTCGTGACCCGTGTCTGAAGCATACATTGAAAAAACACCAACAACACGTTGGCCGGCGACAGCCATGACATCACTACCGGTGCGACTATAGTATAAATAGGCGCCGGGAGAACACATCATCCTTTTCTTCGTCTTCACTGACTGTTTTGTTTGAAGCGTGCATTTCCATGGTAAGAGCGATCTCAATTCATTCATTATGGCGAGCACTAGCAAAGAGTTTAGAGGATGTGTGCATCCGTGTCATCGCTATTTGACACCCAATGACACACACGATCTATGCGTTGTTTGTTTGGGCGAAGAGCACGCACGCGATGTCCTCGAGGGGGCAATCTGCGTGCACTGCGAGCGTTTTTCAATGAAAAAGCTCCGTTCTCGTTTGTCTCTTTTTTCGAGTAAAGAAGGGCAGCCATCTGCTTCCCGCGGTTCAGGACCCGCCGCTGCTGAGGCACGGAGGAGAACAGGCTTGTGGGGATCGCAGGTGGATCTGGCCGATGAGTTTGAAGAGGGGTTTTCCCTCTTGCGATCGTCGGCTGTGGACGAGAGTGAGCCGCTGGAGGATGATGTTATTTCGTTAACATTGTCTGATCCAGGGGCCAGTGCTCTGCTGGGTTCAGCCCAGGAAGAGCAGGACTCTACCCCGGGCCCAGGAGTTCTGGCCCTAACAGGTACATTTTTTGGGGGGTATGTAGCCTAGGCTTTTGGCCGTAGGGAATAATGTCACTGCCAGCCATCTAACATCCCACGGGCAACTCCCATGGCAATATGGTAGAGTTGGTACTTAGTGCTCGCCATGGTTTCTGGCATGCACTCCCCTCAGCAACCAGGGTTACATACATAGCCTGAGACGTTTCTTGTCTTTAAAAGTTTGCCTCCAGGACCATTAGAATTCAGAGTAAGTGAGAAGCACACATTAATTTATCTTCAGTGAAGCTGAGTGTTAAGATTCTATCCGTTTGAAAACAAGCTCTGTTAAAAGCGTGTTGACCTTAGAATAAAGTAAATTAGTGAAGAAGGCAGTGGCAGACACCATCCATGAAGCTGAGGTGATGCCAACTATCTATCCAGGATAAAACAACGGCACAAATCTTAATCAAACACTACAGTCCTCCAAAGGTTAACAATAGTTAAACTCAAAACAGCAAAACCGCAGCTTCTTATATCACACATTTCAATTACATGCTGATAATGTGTCTAAACTGAAACGAATACATTTAAAACTACACTTTGACGCATATAATGCACTGCAACCAGCTGCTCTCCATCAAGTGTGCTGCTTTTCTCCATTGTGAAACATCCTCTAATATGGTAGTCAACATTAATTAAATTTTTGCTGAAATAAATAGCAGCAGGAATGTCTCCTAAAGGATGCTTTTAGCTGATGTTTGGTACATTTAATTCTTGAGTCAGTACCAAAATGTCTTTTCATTGTGCTTGTGGCATAGTGATGGTGAGAGTGGCAGACCACTGCGGCCTTTATCAGTGATTCAAGAGGGTGAAGTGTGCTAATAGTGCAGATAAGAGGCTTTTGTGAACACTGATGTGTATGATTTACACTGTCAGCGAATGCTTCGGGTTACAATTGCCATGTGCGTCATAACTGAACCAGAACTGTACAACATTCTGGTTTTGCAGTTTCATTTTTTGTTTTTTCTGGTTTTGCAAAGTGCCACATTTTTTCTGTTAATAAGAACATTTGTAAATCTCATGACTTTACAGTATGGAGATAGATAGATAGATGGATGGATGGATGGATGGATGGATGGATGGATGGATGGATGGATTGATTGATTGATTGATTGGTTCAGCACAGAGTATGTTTAGATGGACATGAGAGAAATCAAATTAATTGAGCAATCAAGCAAAGTATTAAATTACTAAAAATACACAATTATGAAACACTTTAAAATTATATTAATATTAGATAGATGGATAGATAGATAGACAGATATATAGATAGATAGATAGATAGATAGCAACAACCATAATAATAATCATCATTAGATAATAATAATAAAGTTCCTATGTGAAAACCCATATTAGTACATTTTATATACAGTTTGCAATGAGTAAGCATTCGCTGAGTTTAATGTACGGAGAGGTGCTATAGTGAATCAATAAAAATGCGCAAAAATCAGTAAAATAGACGAATACAGGATGGGGAAATAATATCATGACCTCGCGTGGTTAAAAACTGTTATTGACGCCTAAATGATTTTGAATTCAATGTAACTCAAGTAAATTTCAAGCTACGTGAAGATGACTCTTCATATCTGGACAGATGCTCTCACCCATTGATTCTAGGAGGTTAAAAAGTAGCCTATTTTAACATATTTAACACAAAAAAATAATCACGGATATCTTACATTTTATAGACATTATAAATAACTTGCTAAAGTCCACATTATCGTGCCTTTATAAAGTAAAAGACACTGCTCCTTCACTCGTGCCGTGCGCGCGCACTCCTGCATTGAATCAGCATCCAACTTCTCGGTGGCTTTCTAGTCCTATTTATGTTTTTTTACTAAATATGCGAGGTATATAATGTTATAGACCTCCACAAATTAAACATACTTAACACCAAACAGATTTAATATCAATGAAATCACGTAAACACGCCAACTGTATCTCATACTGACTGCAATGAAACAATAACTAATTATTGTATATGCTATTTAAAATACCATAACACAAAAACAAACACTTACCTGAGAAAACATGGAGCTCAATGTTGAAACCAAAAAAAACAATTTTGGGGCGTCCATAGCAGCTGCTTTTTCTTCCGTAAATGTTATTTTACCATGGAAAAAAAAACTTTACATTCCGTAAAGTTTCTCCTGCTTTTCTTACAAGCGCGTAAAAGTAAACTCAGTCAAACCGTCTCATCGGACACGGTGCTGGCAGAGGAGCAAAGCATAAGTTCAGATGAGGGAACATCTTAATAGCCGTGAGTGAGCAGCCCCCTCTTGGGTGAGTGCCTCATATCGTTGCTCGAGCTGCTGACAGTTCAGCGACCAATGAGCGAATCACAGCCAGACCACGAGAGGAGCTTTACAGCTTCACTACTTGCGAGATATTGACAATACACTCAAGACTGCAGCACTCTTGTTCGTCATCGGCTTACGAGTGTCACTGTTGCGTTAGTGCGAAAGCAATAGATGACATTTCAAGGTCTCTGCTCTTTGTGAACACCTGACTGCATAAAATGACTCTTATGCGAGCTTGTATGTTTATCAGAAGGCTGCCATTTAAAGAAGTTGTTTAAATATCACAGTATAGCCTACACAGCATAAGGTTCCTTTGGGAACCCATTTGAGGACATTTTATATACAGTGTGCAATGAATAAGCATTCGCTGAGATTAATGTAGGAGAAGTGCTAGTGAATCGATAAAAATGCGTAAAAATCAATAAAATCGACGAATACAGGATGGGGAACTAATATCATGATGATAACATTTAAAGAAATTGTTCACAGTACACAAAATATAGAAGGTCCTCTGGTAAGAATTACTTAGGCTATTTAATTTTTTATTTCAAAATATGTTTTTAGATATGAACTGAGAATTTCCTGATAATTTATGGGGGATGAGACATTTCCAGAATTCCCTCATTAATTTGACATAGTTGAAGGAATAATTGACCCAAAAATGAAAATTTGCTGAAAATGCACTCACCATCTGGTCATCCAAGATGTTCATGAGTTTGTTTCTTCCTCATAACAGATTTAGAGAAATTTAGCATTACATCACTTGCTCACAGTGGATCAATGCAGTGAATGGGTGCCGTCAGAATGAGAGTCCAAACAGCTGATAAAAACATCACAATAATTCACAAGTAATCCACACAATTCCAATCCATCAATTAAAGCAGTGTAAAGCGAAAAGCTGTGTGTTTGTAAGAAACTAATTTGCAAGTGAGCTATTCTATTAATGTCTATAGTATTATTTTAGCTTTGAAACCCTGATGGTCTTGTCTTTGTATGGTTAACACTGTGGTTATGTTCAAATATTTTAGTATATTAATATTCTATCATATTGTATGATCTCCTGAGATGTTGTTCTTCGACTAAAGAATTAAAAAACTGAAATACTGAAATATTGGTCTGGAAATTTAAACTAAAAACATGCAAATTGGACACACTTGCTTTCTTTGTCATTAGCAGATGCATCTTATCCAAAGTGACTTTTAACTCTATAAATTGTATAATAATTGCTGGAGCAAGCTGAAGTTAAGTGCCATGCTCAAGAAAAGGGCACTGGTTGATTGAGAATGTCGTCTGATGAATATTCAGAGACAAAATAATGTAATTAAAATACTGCTAGAATCCATTATTGTGGATACAAGTTTATTATGTAAGTGCCCAGATTAATATGTTGTTACGTTCCATTTCACACAGTGATCCATCACAATGCTGATTTAAATAGCTTCTGTACCTTCAAATCAGAAAATGCTGCAATTAGTTTAAGAGAGCTTTTACAATAACTGATTAACTAGCATGAATTCAGGTTAATCAAAAGTTTTTGTTTACATAATATATGTGTGCGTACTGTGTACATTTATTTTGTATATATAAATACACACACATGCATGTATATATTTAAGAAAATATGTTATGTTTATATATGAAATATATTTTTATAGATTATAAATTATAGGAATATAAATATACATATGCAATATATGTAAATATTTTCAAAATATATACTGTATGTGTGTGAATTTATATATATATAATAAATATACACAGTATACACACATTTATTATGTAAACAAAAACTTTTATTTTGGATGCGATTAATCGCGATTAATCATTTG